CCCTGGGGTTCCTGTGGCTGTGTTTTACGTGGTCGATAGGTTCGCCGCTGCATATGATGGTCGAGGGGGATTGATCATTTTTCCCGCCAGGTACAACATTTCTGGCTTGTTGTCCACGTCCCTGCAGGATCTTGAAGCTTAATTAAAATGATTACAGGACCACTAGCCCTTAGAACGTTATAATTAGGACGTCAACATCCAAATCGGATATAGAACAATCCAATTGGATCAGCTCTAGCCCTTCGCAGGGCGTCCATTAACTTTGCAGACTATAGGGGTGAGGGTGTGTGGAGAGGGCGAGGGTGCATATTTATACGCAGGCGATGAGCTTCACTGGCTCCTTTTGGGAATCTGAGATGGACCCATTGAGGATGCACATGTGGAACATCACATGTTTTGAAAGGTGTATATATATATGCCAAACATGCCCCATAAATTCCATCAATCCAGAAATAGGTATACTTAGACCTTCCGAAGGCACACTTCTTTTGCCAATTGGTTTTTGAGCTCATTCAGAGAAATGACGAAACGTCGATTGGCAAATCATAGCTGCTCAGCCCAGGCACGTTTGCGTTGCACATTCACGGCTCTCGGGCTGTGTCTAGGAGCTGCACTACGTACACGTACCGTGTAACACAATATTGTTTGCCATACTTGGGTCACTCTACAACCCCATGTTTGACAAAGCTAACTCGAGGCGCTTAAGTATCGAGCGGACAGTTAGTTAAACGCCTGGAATGCAAACCCTACAGCTGCAGGGAGCCATAGAAGCAGTGGCAGTTCACCATATCATGCATACAGGGCACCATATCAAAGGCAGCAATAAAATTGTTGCAGTTGGGGCCCAGTTCAAGCCGTGAGCCCCGCCTTGCACTATCACTCATGATGTAAAGTCCATTGCACGAGCTCCATGTCCAAAGAAGCCTTTACTTGGGCATATCTTGCCTTGCAGCTCTTGGGCGGAGTATCGTTTTTTGCTTCATGGTTTAACTTGGATTCCCAAATCAGAAATCTTGATTTATCAGATAAGGCCCGTCCTCAAAAGCGGGCACCGACGACTTAAAATATGGGTCCGGAACACATCGCTGATTGGCCGGAAAAGATCGCCGACTGGCTGTAAAAGATCGGCGACAGGCCGGTGAAAATTGCCGATTCCATTTTTGCTCTTTCCGTTGCTTTTGCTTGGGTGCCCGCCAATGAACTTTCAGAGCATGCAAGCGAGCTTTGCAGCCCTCGATTTCTGCGTTTCCTGAAGGTGGCATGCAGTGCTTCGGGCTCAGACTTTGCTGGGAAGTCTAATTGGAAGCGGACCTTGAGATCCGATATGTCCGCGGCTGATAAGTGATTGATCAACAAAACCCATCAACATCCCGGATTTTATATGCAGCCAACGACACTTATTGCAAAGAAGGTCGGTCCACACAGGATGGCACGAGGCAACATGGACTGCAAAGATGTACTGTGGCACTTGGCCCTCTTTTGCGGAACAAGTGGCTGCGCGATGCGAGCTGTAAGTCCAACGCAAATTCAGGAAAAGTGCCCACAAAGAGCGAATTGAAAGCAGCGGTGCCATAAAGTTCGATGACATGTTGCAAGTAACAAAAATGCCGCTCAGCCTCAAACTCTGTCGATTTACAAAAAAACACACGTTTTTGTGAAACAGCCAAATTTTGACCCTCCTCCCGAAATTCTCAGGTATACGAAAAGGGCAAAGGCGCGTGGACAGTATGGAGAGGGCGAGGGTGCACATGTGTGTTGATTATCAACTTTTCAGAGCTGGGTTTTGTGCAGCTGGTTTTGGATCCAGTATTGGATGCTGGTGCCAAGATAGATCAACCAACACTGAGTACATCACCTCTTCTTAGGCCAAGTAGCTGCTGTAGCTGTGAGAATATGCAACCGGCATGCCGAACCTGTGCTAAAAGTGCTAGCTGATCGACGGGTTCATGAGCAAACAATAAATTAGATTGTGCTTTCCAGCTAGCAGTACTAGATGGATACACAATGTAGTAGAACAGGGCCTTTCGCAAAGCGAGCAAAAAACTCAGACTTGAAGTTTGACATGGTGTGCGTACAGGCCCTCACAATGACTTCAAACAGGCTGGTGTGGGAAATGCAGGGGAGGAAGGGGAAGGGGGGGAGGGGGAGGCGGAGGGGGTAAAGTGATACTTTTTTCGGCGGGGGCATTGTCCGTGAAATCAGGCCAATTGTCCGTGAAATAACGCCCATTGTCCGTGAAATCAAGGCCATTGTCCGTGAAATGCGCCCATTGTCCGTGAAATTACGGGATCTACAATACACATTTTTCAGCGTTGAACTAAGTGAGTGCCCCCCCCCGACGGCGCAACCTACAAATGGGAAAAGGAGGCAGGTGTATGACCTTGGGCCGGTGAGAATCGTCAGGCGACTGACGCTGTTGATGCTTGCCCGCAGCTTCATGATACCCGGAGATTTCGGGGGGGGGGGGGTCGATTTGTAGCTGTTTCACAAAAGCATACGTGATTTTCGTAAATCGACGGGTCTTGAGGCTGAGCGGCATTTTTGTTACTTGCAACATGTCATCGAACTTTGTGGCTTTATGGCACCGCTGCTTTCAACTCGCTCTTTGTGGGCACTTTTCCTGAATTTGCGTTGGACTTACAGCTCGCATCGCGCAGCCACTTGTTCCGCAAAAGAGGGCCAAGTGCCACAGTACATCTTTGCAGTCCATGTTGCCTCGTGCCACAAATTTTTTGCGCAACGCACTCCCCAATACGGAGATACTCTCAGCTTCAACAGAGCGCTGCGCAGCATGCACGACAAGCATTGGACAGGGTTCGAATGGCCAGACAGGCACAATTGGCTGCTGGCATTGCTAGGAATTCAATTTGCTTGACAAAAGCCATGCGATCTTCAGGTAAGACGCCATTTCCGCTTTTGCCTTTTGAACATCCTGTGTGAACCGACCTTCTTTGCAATAAGTGTCGTTGGCTGCTCATAACATCCAGGATGTTGATGGGTTTTGTTGATCAATCACTTATCAGCCGCGGACATATCGGATCTGAAGGTCCGCTTCCAATTAGACTTCACAGCAAAGTCTGAGCCCGAAGCACTGCATGCCACCTTCAGGAAACGCAGAAATCGAGGGCTGCAAAGCTCGCTTGCATGCTCTGAAAATTCATTGGCGGGCACCCAAGCAAAAGCAACGGAAAGAGCAAAAAACGATTCGGCAATTTTCACCAGCCTGTCGCCGATCTTTTCCAGCCAGTCGGCAATCTTTTCCGGCCAATCAGCGATGTGTTCCGGACCCATATTTGAAGTCGTCGGTGCGCGCTTTTGAGGACGGGCCTTATCTGTGATTTGGGAATCCAAATTAAATTCCGCCCAAGAGCTGCAAGGCAAGATATGCCCAAGTAAAGGCTTCTTTGGACATGGAGCTCGTGCAATGGACTTTACATCATGAGTGATAGTGCAAGGCAGGGCTCACGGATTGAACTGGGCCCCAACTGCAACACCTTATAGTTTTGCGCTGCATGTACGAGAAGGGGTATGGGTTCCGAGGCGAACATGCTGAGTGGAGCTGCATGCATGCACTCTGCATAATAATGTGTTGCTACTGCCTTTGCTATGGTGCCGTGTATGCAGTGGATTATGCTGCCAATGCTGCTTCTATGGCACCCTGCAGCCGCAGGGTTTGCATTCCAGGCGTGCGTTTAACTAATTGTGCGGTCGATACTCAAGCGCCTCGAGTCAGCTTTATCAAACATGGGGCAAACAATGTGGTGTTACACGGTATGTGTGCGCAGTGCAGAGTCTGGACATTAAAAAAACACACAGCCCAAGAGCCGTGAATGTGCAACGCAAACGTGCCTGGGCTGAGCAGCTATGATTTGCAATCGGCGTTTTTGTTGCTTGAATCGGCAGCATTTGCTTGAATTGGTGTCATTTCTCTAAATGAGCTCAAACACCAATCGGCAAAAAGTGTACTTTCAGAAGGTCCAGGTATGTGGTTTGTGCGAGAATGCCTGCGCGCGGGCTCTCATAACTCCGGAGGTCGCCTTTGCGCCTGAAACCGGCCAAGAAAATTGTGAGACAGGGCCACATTACACAACATGAGGTTCAAAACGGTATGGAGCAGAGTAGATGTTGAACGGTGGCCACCACCCAAGCGAGATCAGGGCATCACAAGGTGAAGGTTTGCCACGGTGAGCTAAGCACCCAACTACAACACAACGACGACGCTGCGATGAAAAGTGCAAGGGTGTAAGGAGAACACCTGGGCTTGGATCAACATCTAAGTTCGTAAGGGCCCTTTGTGCTTGCATCTTGGTGACCGCTATGGATCTAACCATCATTGTGCAACAAAGCGTAAGAAGGCCCGAAAATATTGTATTCAAAATGTTGTATGTCCTGCCAAAAGCAGCCGGTGCAAAAATATGTGCGTAGACGACAAAAAAGAGACAAATATGTGAGGAGAGGACGACTGTGTATAACGGAGACGAGGGAAGCCCAGGGATATATACAAACGCCACGCCCATCCGCCCACAACCGATCCGATGCGATCCCATCGCAAGCCATGCGCCTGGGTGCCGGAAGTTCCGTACCTTCACCGAGCCCGTGAGCGCCCGGATGAAGATCTCCCCTCCCAGCTGCTCCGGGAAGACCCGCAAGAACTCCTCCGCCTCCGGGGCCTGTCCAATCCAGCTGGAAACGAGACACGCGCGCGGAGTTGCTCGGGTGGGGATTTTCATGGGTCCTTGTTGGGACCCGAAAATGGTGGACATCACACACCACTCTTGAGGAGGGGTTGTGCTCGCAAAATCATTGCCGCTTCAAAGAGAAGATGCCTGGAAAGCTGGAACGGTTTGAAAGGGAAAAAAGGCGCAGGTGGTGCAAAGCGTGAAAAGGAGACGCTCATGTTCAAAGTTCAAAACAGAACCTGCCACGTGCCCTGCTTAGCTTTCTTTGACCTTTGACTGCAACTTCAAACTTGCCACGGCCCCCCTTGTGTAACATTGGTGGCTGAGGAAGAGGAAACCTAAAGGCAGCCAAAGAAGCCCTTGAAAGGGGTCCTGGTTTCACAAGCGATCCGAGCGCGACACCAATGAGTTGGGTGGCGCTCTGCTCCGATCATCTACAGAGGCTTGCGGGACAAACAATGTGTCGGTGCGGTCGGAAACTGGAAAACAAAACATTGACTTTCGGACCTGTCTCTGACTCTTGATTTTATGAAGCCGATGCGCCGACAGCCCATTCAAGAAGCGACAGTTCCTCTTCTTGGCCAGGCAGGCAAGCAATTCCCTGCGAACCTGTGAAAGCGATGGTATCTCCGCCTGTCCAGGCCAGAATAAGAAGCAACAAGCCAAGAAGAACATTCATAGCAAATCCCTTTTCACAAACAAGCCTCCAATACCTTTAATCCCTCTACAAGTCCTTTCCAACCCCACATGTTTCTCTAACCCCTGGACAAACCCTCCGTTGAACACCACTCCTTTACAAAACTGGGCTGCCCTCAGATCCCCCGCTAAAAGTTGCACTTTCAGTGGGTTAAATGGAAACTACCACACAACCCTAAAAAGCTAACGAACTAAGGGGATGGCTTCATGCGGCTTCATGGGGGCTGGGGGGGAGGGAGGGGGTGGGGAGCCCCAAGCCCCAAATAAGGCCTTATTAGGGGCTTAATAAGGGCTCTGGGCTCCCTCCCTATCCCCTCCCCTCCCTCCCCCAGCCTCCATGATGACTGGCCACCAAGAAAAGACGCGACAGAACGGACAGCCCGCGCGCGGATCCGCATCCGCGCCTCCGGGCCGCCGCCCTCGAGGCCCAGCTCCCGCGCCAGCCGCTCCGCCTTCGCCGTGGAGTTCTCCGAGCCTCGCAGAAACCGACGGCGAAGCCAACTGGCAACAAACCGAATCGTGCCCTTCACCAGTGTTTGTTTGTTGGGAGAATTTTTGGTCACGCTCCAACTCCTTCACCAACAAACCAAAACGGGGGATGGGCCAAAAGCCAAATCGTTCCCCCAGTGAACATCCCAATCCAACCACTAAAATAGGTTCTAAAATGGGCGGTGAATTCACCTACCAAGCAAAATGGTAGCATTGGTTTTGACCCACAGCCACACCAGAAACCCCAACCACCAGGTCACCATCTTGCTGACAAAAACGAACAAACAATTCAAGCACAAGGCCACATGCAAGCAACAAACTCCTTAGGACTTGCCAAACAACCAACCAGACTTACCCAAATTCAGCCGCCCAACGTCCAACCTGATATCCCAGCCTTCCCCCCGCAGCCATCGCTCCACCGCCGCCAGGTGCTGCTCTGCCGCCCGCAGATGCTGAAGCGGCACGTCCTCGTCCGGCTCCTCGCAAGGCTCGCTGCATCATCCAATGCGCATCTTGTTCCAATCCGAATGCGCGCCAGAAGGGTTTTCGTTTGAAAGGTCGGGGGTCTTGGGGCTAGGTGACCTACACTCGTGCGTTTGACCTTTGTTTGAGTGGTTTGGGGGGATTTCTTCTCAAAAAATGTCTTTGGTTGTGTCTTTGGAAAGCGTCTTTGGGGGTGTCTTTGGAAAGTGTTTTGTGGGGATGTGTTCAGGGGGATGTCTTTGGGGATAATTCTTGAGGTGTCCTTGGGGATGTCTTCACGGTTGTCTTGGTGATGTCTTCGAGGATAACTTTGGGAACGTCGTTGAAACAAATATGGGGGGGCAGTGTTCAGAGGGATCTTTTTTGGGATGTCTGGGTTTGTCTTCTGGGAAACCCTTTTGAAACCCCTTTTGGTCAACCAATTGGGTATATGGAGTTTTGAAGGGGAAACAGAAGGACACATGCCACTCATCGAGACCCTGCTTTCTTTAGGGACATAGTTTGGTTGAAAATGGAAAATCCCCCCGCCAAATTTGGTTCCCCGTGTGTATGACAAACCCATATGCTGTATTATGTTGTACACCGTGGCTAAAACTCTGAATCTGTGGGCACTGGTCAAGGTTCCCATAACAACCCTTAGCAATCGTGTCTTTTTTGACCATGGGACCATGTGACATGTGTACATTTGGGTGTGAAGTCTGATAGGGGATCCTTTTGGTAGACGTCATTTGGGGATTTATGTGCATCAACCAATTGGGAGGGATTCCTTTCGATTCTAAACCATAGCCATGTGAGCTGACACTTGGTTCTACTAAGATGGCTCTAATGGCTCTTTGGAGTTTCTGTACCCCCAGGTACTAAACTGGCCATATGTGCCAAGGTCAAACCTCCTGTGGACAATGGCCATGGCTCTCTTGGTATTATCATGTATCTGCATATAATACAAAGTGGGCATGTCCAAAAATAAGGGACCCCTCCAATCATTTGGATGTTCAACCTACTTTGTATTGAAAGCATGGATGTATTTGGGGTAAGCAGGGCTTTGCTCCCTTAGCCAGACCTAGGGACTTCACCTACCCCCTCTCATCCCCTTCTTCCCCTTGTGGAATGATGGGGATTGGTTGCAATTAGTTTAGGGTTGACCTCATATGGTTGAATATTTGGGGTGGTGGAGATCCTTCACGTTTACCTGTCTGCATCGCCTCCTGGCCGTCTGTGCGTGCCATATTGCCTGTATGGGTATGAATCTCAAGTGGGGTTTGGTTTGGGGTCCCAGAAAAATGGAGTCCTCCAATTCCCGCCCATACATGGCCCCCGCACCATTCAGAGTAGAAGCGGGAGCTTCAACACCCAACTGGCTGCTTTCACCAAGGAAACATGTGCGTTCGGCATATTCCACACCTGAGCCATCTTGAGCCACCAAATCGCCAGGACACACAGGTCATATGGACAATGAGCGACCCTCACTCCAGAAATTATTTGATTCCCACTGCAAGGGTTTGAACATGTTTCAACTATTTCAACACCTTCCGCCTGGTGTGCATTTCCCCTAGGGACACCTGCCCGCTAGCACCAACTTGTGCCAGCTTCAACCCTTCTGCGCTTCGGACCGTCCTGCGTCAAGTTCACCACCGCGGCACACGAGAAGTGGCCCTCCCGGAGCTGCACGCAGCGCGCCCGCGCCTGGGTTAGCACCTCGGAGCGAGCGAGACGGCGGCGCGGGAGCTTTCCGCTTGCGACCTCTTCACCCCGGCATATGGCCCAGAAAACCCTGGGAGGTTCCTCCAAAAGAAGGCATTCATGTGCCTTAAGGCCTGATTGCTGATCTGAAAACCCCACCACTCAGGGAGAGGTGGCCTCCTTTTGGTTCCCTTGCATAAACACTCAAAGAGCACTTTAAGCGAGCCTTGGAAAGGGCGGGATCCACAGAACAACTCGGGCAAGCCTCAAGTGGAATGGCAAAACACGTCCCAACTCTTTCTGTGCCACTAGACTAGTCTTTCCAAAAAAGGCCGGATCCCACCAAAAAGTGCCGATTCCAGCACCTCTGTGCGGGTTCCTCTGGCCCAGAGAGCGTGACCACGGCACTAAAAACAAGTACAGAGTCCAGGACCGCAGACTTTCGCACAGCAGAGAGCTCTCCTTCGCCCCCCGGGCCCCCCCCCCCCGGGCCCGCTGGGCTTCGCCCTGGCGCCCGCGAGGCGGCGCGGCGCTGGGCGGCCGCCCCGCAGAGCTGGTCGCAGAGCCAGCCCAGGCGCCTCAGAACATCCGGTGGATGTCTGACATGTTTCCTTTTGGTTCCCAAGAAAACTCGGTGAAGGTGTCCTTCTGGTTGGCTTGGTCGAGGTGTCCTTCTCGTTTCCTTGTGGTTTCCTCGTGGTTTCCTTTTGATCTGGTCTGCTTCTGGTTTCCTTCTGGTCTCCTTTTTCGGCTTCCTTTTTGCATGGTGTCCTGTTGGTTTAAGTATGGTGACCATTAGAGAACAAGAAACAGAATCCAACAAGAATCCCTCCGAACAAGCAACACATATTACAATTGTGTTCCTTTGGTTTTGCAAGCATAAGGCTTAAACAACGAAACACACAAAAGTACACTCCAAATAAAACACACACCAAAGGCTGAAGGGGTCCGGGTGATTCTTTCTATAAGGGTATGTCACTGCCCTGTGATTGTTTTTGTCAACCCTAAGTCCTTTGTCTTATTGGGTGACAACGAAAAGCCATCTAACGGGAGACATCAGAACATGTGGCAAATTACTACAAGATCCGTTCAATTAATTCGAATGGGGATGTGGGACTTCAAACACCTATAATTCTGGATCATGATCAGGTGATGTTTATTCCCAGTCAGACATCTGAACAAAGAAATCCGTAGAAGAATCTTCGTCATACATAAAGGACGCTGATCCCTTGGCTGGTTGAATTCAAAAGGGAACCCACCAAAGCAAACCTGGGCAATGTTGGCCTCATGTTGGCTTTCACTTCTTGGGGCTCCGTGCCTGAAAAACTGCAAAGTTCCCTTCTTAACTACGGCAAAGGACACGCCACACCTTTGCCCTTCATGTGATGGCATTCTGCGGGCCTTGGTTTTCCTTTCAAACCAACCCGGAAAGGGGATGCTCCTTCAAAAGGCGACACTCCCTCTGCTTCCCGGGCGCTTCAAAGGCGACATGCGGGGGGATGGGGACTCCTCAGCCATGGTCTTTGAGCCACAATGGGCTGCGTTCAGAGGCCGAGAGTGCTCGAAGAAGTTGCGAAACTGCGGGGCACCCTGATGTCCTCTTGGGATTCACCCTCACCCACCAACATGGAAAATGACCTTCTAGGAAGACCCAGTAAGGCTCCATGCTGGTTGGTGAAAGGGCAGCTGACCTCAAAGGAGGTCGTTTCTGGGATGCTCTCAAATGAATCATGGGAGCCAAACAATTCACCAACTTGAAATAAGGGAAATCCCTACAAACTAAAACCCATGGACCCATTCCTCTAATAGTTCGTGAGAATTCATTCAAAGACAGTCGTGTCCAAAGGAGAGGGAAAGGGAAGGCATGCATGTGGCTATAGACCGAGGCACGCAAATGTTTGCTCAGGTTCCCACTTACCACAGAGGGGAGCATCTATCTAAAGATGAAAGTGTAACAGTACAGACAAATCAATCTTGAGCAGGCCCCAACAGGTACGACCCGTCTTGAATCTCCCGTCAAAGAACTAGGTAAGAAATCCACTACCACTGTCCAAATGCTGAATAGTGGCTGATCCTTCCTTCGTTGGTGGCCTTACAAACCTAGAATGACATGGCAGCGGAAAACAACAGCAAAAAAAGACTGGGCTGAACCCCTCCTCTACTCCCCCACACCTGAGAAGGCCTATTCGGACTTGTCGATCCCGGACGTTTCACGACCCTGTCTTTAGAGGCCTAAATCAGCAGATTGGGCCTGTAGGGTACACTAAATCACATGTATCGTCATGATTGGACAAAACAGTTAGCAATGATGTCAGGCCCTCCCCCAAAAAAAAACAAACAAACCAACAAACAAAACAAAACAAACAAACAGACAGACAAGCAAACAAACAAACAAACAAACAAACAAACAAACAGACAGACAGACAGACAGACAGACAAACAGACAAGCAAACAAAAAAATAAACAAAACAAAACAAACAGACAAACAAACAAACAAAACAAAACAAACAGACAAGCAACTCCTGAATACCCTTGCTCATTATTGCACCAAGTCCTTGGCCCAGACCTCCGGCGCCAGCCTGGCGGCACCATCATGCCCCGCCCGAAGCCGGGCGGCATGCCCGGCGGCGCGCCGCCCGGGGCCGGCAAGGCGCCTCGGCCAAGCGAAGCCTTTGAGGGCGGCGGGGCGGGGGGGCGGGGGGAAAGGGGGGGGATTCAGCTACTGGCTGCAGAAGTGTTTGCAGCACAGAACCCCGTTGTTCAAATAGGCTATGAAAAGACTCAGGGTTGCACGTAAGGTGGATTCTCTCTAAACATTAGAAGTGGGAGGAGACACCCACATCCAAGCCTCACGCCCTGGCAAGTTGCAGGAGGGTGTCCCTGGTCACTGGTTGCACCACTTGCACAAACATCCCTCCAACCTTCCCGGATCAAGGGCGTAGATGAAGGCAAGACGCTGGACACTTGTTCTGCCTTCAAGCAAACGATCAATGGCGGCCTCGTATCCGGGACCGTTTTGGCTTCAGCCAACGCCGCACTTGCCGCGTGCGCTTGCCGCCAAGGTGCCGCCAGCCTGAGCGGATTCGGATAGGTGGACACCGAATGATGCGACAGGGGCTAGAAGAAATCAAGAGGTCAGGACAAATGAGGGTTTGGACCCACCATGGCCCACCCATCCCTGTGCTTAATCTTAGGAAAACAATCCTGAGCCATTTGGCCCCCAGGGTGTGGATGTGACTATCCTCAGGCTCCCTCCCAAAAAGGAAAGTGGTCGTCAAATGATGTTTCCGTGTTTGACCTGCCCGAGGCAAACATGCACGCCACCTTGCCTCAGGCTAACATGGAAACCAAGCGATATTATTGTTGACAACTCATACTAATATGCCACGATATTGACCGATAGGAAGCTGCCCCCTAAAGAACGCAAAGTACACTTTGCCATGCCGAATTTGCCAACGTTATCCAAAAACATCGTCGCTTCTGGTCTTCGAACTAGTGATCTCCGTAAAGATCACAGCTTACAACACATTCCCTGCCGAAGACTGCTCCTTTGCATGCAGTATGTTGCCTCCCACTCACATGTTCTTTTGGTTCGACCAACTTGTCCCTTGCGAAGGGTTCGAAGACGAGAGGAGTTCTTGCCTTGGGCACCAGGTGGCGCCCTGAAGGTGTTGTTTGAAAATCAAGGGCCTCCCAACAATGAAAAAAACCCTCCAAGGTTCTAGGACTCCTGGACTCCTGGGCGAGTGCCCTAGCGCTCCAAGAGGCCCGGAAGTATTGAACAACAAACGGGTCCTGGTCGACAACTACACTGAACTGCTCACCAACTGGATCTTCCAATCTTCCCTAAAGACATTATTAAGTCCAACAGGCGGGGAACGCCCAAAATGTGCGGTTTCCTTCTGTTTTCCGGTGCAAAGCCATCCAACGCAACCCGCGAAAAAGGCGCCGCCAGCCGCCAGCGATTCGTTTTTCAGGGATCCCAGTCCCCGCCTTCGGCTGCATTTGGATGGCCGCAGGGCCCCCCACGCCCCGCACCGGGCCCGCCAGCCCGGCGGGCGCCGAGCTCAGGGGCGCCGCCGGCATGCCCCGGCCTCGCGGACTCGCGGGTTGGCCGGGGCCCGGGTAGGGCCATACCCGGACGGGAGAGTAGCATAGGTGGTAAATGGAAGAAACCCCATCTAAACCAGTGCCATCTATTTGACCAAACTCACCTAAAAAGGACACCTGTGGAGAGTACCCTTTAGCCGGTTGGTTCAAAGGGAACCAACAAGGAACACAATGTTCTGACACATACCCACAGGGCACCACCTCCCAAAAAGATGTACCCTGCTTTCGAGCCATACCCTCTCCATTACGCTCCTTTCAGGGATCTTTCTCTCCAGTTGCCCAACCCCCCGGCGTCGCCAGTGAGGATGATCTTCGCGAAACTAGCTGAGAACCTCCTCAAACCAAGGCGCCCCTTTAAGATTGCTTCAACAGGAAGATCAAGCAGAAGCCAATCAAAAAGGTGCTAAAGGGGCCTTTTCAAGGAGATGGGCATCCTCTGCTGAGCTAAAGATCCAGCAAAAGATCAAACATTTCGGGCCTTTTTCGAGCAAGGGTTTGAAGCTTTGAAGGGAAACCGAGGGAAACCGCCCATTTTGAGGGCAGCCCCTGTGTGAGACAAACCCAAGTGGGTGAGTACAGTCAACTCTACAAACTAGCCAGAGCTGGCGGCGATGGGCCGGGACAGGCAGGCAGGGGGGAATGAGCAAATAAACCGTAAAAGCCAAACCACCACAATCCAACGAGCGAATGAGATCAACACATTGTGGAAATAACTGACTACCAACGTGGGCCATCCTTATGACTTGTTTCGTCATTGTGAACATAATTCCCTTAGTATCACAAACAGTGGCCCTAAAACCATATTATGCAAGCCCCACCTACTTTAAGGGAGAGGAGAGTGGGGGTCCCCCAATCCCATTTCTAGTATTCCCTTGCAAAGGGAAAGAGGAAGCACAAATGGAATTCCAGGGGTCACCGCTCAGCCCCAATTTCATCTTCACGGGGTGGGGTCCATCTCTCCCGCGCCATCCGAAGATTTCGAGCGCCTGCGACCTGCCCACGTCCAGGTCCGGGCTGGATGTCTGGCTTCTTGGGACCCGTGGGCGGAGGCGCCTGACGATTCGCCCGGTGCGCGAGGCGCGGGGTACCCCTGGAAGACAGGGATCCCCCATCCTAAAGCGCAAGAAGGTCCCTTGGAACCTAGGGATGTACTTTGACCTCAGAAGGTAACAAAGGAATCCTCTGGGCACAGGGACCGCCCCTGAATGACTGGAGAGGTCGAGTATTCAAGGGTCAACATCGTCCTGTACCTTGCAATTGTTGCCTGGCGATGATTAGCAGGTCTTGCCAACTCTCGTGGCGACAACTCCAGATTTCCACCTTAAATGCCACTGAAAGGTCGGCTTAGGTGGACGTTAAACACTCAGATTCCAACTTGGTATAGTGGCCATGTCGCGGGGATTCACCCCAAGGGCACCCATGACCACCTTTACCCACAACTTGCGAGGAGTTCTGGAGATAGTGGACACCATCTTGAATCCTTGGACCCACTCATCAAAGGGCAAATGCACATGAATATTACGTGTATATATATATATATATAAGTAGATCAGTAATACGGTGCCCTGGTATGAACCGCTGGTTTATGAATGATAAGGATTTCCCCGCAGGTGGGCCCCGCATGGATTCTCGTGGGTGCAAATTTGGGTTACAGCCTTAAGCGGGTGGTTCGTTTCGGCCTCTGCCATCAGCGACACAATTGTCTCGCCCCGGAGAACGACCTGGACCGGGATGGGGGCGTGGACATGCCGCTGGCTGTTCTCTGCTTCTCTGCTCCAAAAATCCCTGGCACCACAAGGGCAAACAATTGGAATCTAAAGGAAACCAAAACCATGTTTTGCCCTTGGGAGAGGGGGAGTGTTGTCACAGGTTGGACTTATTTGAGAACCGCTTGATGGGTGTCATTTGCCACCAAGAAACAGGATGTCTGGAAAGAGTTGGGGAAGCACAGCTGGAAAAATGAATGACTGAATCCCAAAGACGTACCCTCCCGAGAGCAACACTGGACGTAAGCCTTTGCTCCATAACATTCGTAAACATGATTCAGTCAAAGGCATGTAGCTTGACTAGACTCACATGCCACTTGCATACGGGGTATACCGCCTCTAGTGAGCTCCGTTCCGTATTGCTGGTGAGTTTCCGTGCGAACAGGAAGTGCTCTGAAAGGGGGTTGAAAGAGAATTGACTGCACCTGTGTCCTAAGCTTGCTACAGCATGCTACTCCAAACATCTACAAGATTTCGCGCAACTGGGCAGTGGATCCCCGTTCCTTCGCACAAAGCATCGACCCCCCTTTACTCAGGTTCTCTCACAAAACTGACTGAGCTTTTGAATGCAGTATAGGTCAGTTCGCAGGCCCTCACGGGAGCGACTGGGACGAAATACAGCTTTTATCTGTGCCATGTGTTGATGGTTGTCTTTCTCTTGACATCCCAAGTCTGGTTGTGCACCCCTCTTTGAACAAATCTTTTTACATGTGCTTTTTCCGGCAGCCGACAGCTGAGGGCGCGGCAAAGCCAAGCGTTCTCTTGACCTCCTTCTCCTCATCCTTGCCTGAGCAAATCACCCTCACTTTGGTGAGGTGTCTAGTACAGCCTCAGCCGTTGCCCCCTGGCCATAGAAAATACAGGCATCCTCTTTTTGACGGGTCACATTTAGGTCAGAACCAACTGAACGACGGAAACAGCAAACTAAAGATTGACATGTATCAATAATTTGTGAATTGGTGGCTTGATTAGTGGTTTGAGATGAATTTCTTCTGATGTTGAAACTAAATGGAAGTGGTGGCCTCCTGACCCTCCAAACCACAAATTCAAACCACCAAATAAGGGGAAGCTGAATGTCCGCGGCCTTCGGGCTTCAGGAATCCAATGGGCCAAAGGCCTTCAGTTGTGGACGTGGTCTGTTTGGCGTCCCTCTGGTTATTTGGGCCAAACAACACATATTCAAAGGTTTTTTTTGTTTCCAAGGCGAGTTCCCTTTTCGGATGGCCTTAACGGGAACCCACAGGAAATCCAGCCCAATTTTAAGGGCTTCCAAATTTTGGAAACACCCAATGCACAAGGGCCCCACGCAATCATGTTTCTGAGAGTAGCGGCCGGGGCAAGAAACCCGCTGATCTTCCCCTGAAACCCACCAATCCACTCAACCAAGCTAGCAGCAATCACCAGAAAGCAGATTGTCATCTACTGCACATTTCAAGCGCTATCACAAAAACAGGAAACCCTCAACACAGTTCCTTTCGGGTTCCCTTTGAAGCAACCTGAAACGGGCACCCATGCGACCCTCACAAAAGCCCAGCCCCATACGAAATCAGCTGCCGGACCCTCCCCAAAGATGGCCAGGGCGCGGCCCTTGGACTTGATCTTTCTGAACTCCTCGCAGTCGGCAAGGACGACGTTCATGAACTTGTCGAACCTCAGGGCTCTTTGGACCCCCTGAGCCGTCGAAACTCTGAAACGAACCCGGGCAAAAATACCAGATACCAAGAAACTATGGTAGGCCCCTAAAACCTTCACTTTTGCATGACACCCTGCAAAATTACAGTTTGTCGCACTGAAATGATGTAGCAGATCAAAGATGGTGCGTAGTTCAGAAATCATTGAGTGAAACCAAACTTATGTGAACAAAATTGAGGTTCGTTGCTGAAAATACCCAGCAAACTATGGCTACAAGTAAGGTACAGTATGCCATACTTGCTTCCAGTACATGCCACGAAAGCATGCAAGCAAATGATTGCTTTGCATCCGGCAGCTTTGTAGATTTGTCAACACTCACACTACTGGCATTGTTTGAAGATTAAGCGTAGCGAGTATGTGGATAACTTTGTTTGCAAACCTTGTAAATGTGTTGGGGTCCACAGCATTTTGAGAAGCTCGCACTGCACACAAGCCGGCTTGTCACGTAAAGCCTCTAATTCCGAGAACTCCGTGTTTCTCCAAGAAAGCATTTAAGCCGTCCTCATCCCCTTAGTACTCACATGTTGCTAAGGTGCTGCCACAATTCTGCAACTTCAATATTGCAGTGAAATCCAAACTAGCCGAAGCTTACATAACCTGTCCCAGGCAACAGCATCCAGAAACGATATCATATATGTGTTCGACATGTTAGTCTAGGGACTTAGGCAAATGTCCAACATGGCATTCAGCCTGGAAACCACAGGCAATTCAAGGTATTTCATAGGGCATCTAGTCAATCGTGGCAGCAGCAGCGGCAGCAGCAGCAGCAGAACTGCTGCCCATGACCAAACGTCACTCCCACAGAATGATGAATTGAAATGGGCCCGACCAAAATAATGTCTGTAGGCTTTGTTTCCATCACCAATTAAAAGGGGGTGCCTCAATCTTTCGAATGCCATTTTGTACCATGGTCAAACCTCCTTACCTGGGTGATGGCCATGGTTCCCTCAAGAACCTTTAGATTGGTTGTCTAAACCCCTACGGCGTTCATGAATACACCATGTAAAATGGTAATGGCGTGGACATCTTTTCGGTGGGGACTCATGTCCAACCACTTTGCGGGTGGTCCCTTATTTGAAACTCATACTCCTTTTGGCCAGTTAAGAAAGCGAGCACCAATCGCGACCAACTTCCCTGGACCGCGAGTGTCACAAGTGTCACCAGCCGAGCGGCGCCATAAAGGTTCCTGAGCGCAACAGCCGTTTCGAGTGGCGAGCGAAAGGAAGAGGAGGGTTGGATTTGTTTTTGCAATTGAGCGAAGACTACTGAATAAAGAAGTTCAACTTGTTCTCTGCCTTTCTTTTAGTACTCCCAAACAAATGATCAGCTGATCAGCTGTTTCTGGCCCAAACAAATAATTTGAAATGGAGTCCTTGGTGGACACCATTTACATTGAGAAATTGATGACCCTCGACTATGTTTGAGGATATTCCCTATGGGTTTGTTGTCCAGCCAGGCGCAGTGGATGGGCAAATCAGCCTGTAATACCATCATGTTCAATGGACCACCGCAATCTGGGGGTTGACCCCCCCTTCCATGCATGAACTGCACCGAAGGCAAGATGCATGGGGTAGGGATTGGGATTCAAGGAATTATCAAAGGGTTTCAAACATTTCACAGAGCCTCACTTCGCAACGGGTGGGCCACCTGTCCCTGGGCTCTGGGGGGGGGAGGGGAGACTCTGAGAATGAGCAGAAACCTCCAGTCGCTGACCAGGTCAACTCTCAAGCTCAACCGTTTCTAGCGTTATTGAAGATGAATGATACAACATGTCAAAATTTGTCATCAAAGGTGGAAGACACATAAATTCAATTCAATTCAAATACTAGTTGTGATTCACATAATATTTTCTAAAGACATGAGCCTCAACAAGTGTTTCCTTCAGAGAAAAAAACAAAAACAAAAACAATGAATTTAGAATAAACATGGGCCAGCAAGCACCGTCTCAACTGGCAGTTGGATTCTGCAAATAACATAGTCTCCCGAAGATCCGCATGAAATCCAGCTGGCAAGTAGAGCAATCTCCTCTCCTGGGGCCTCTGTTGGGGGGAGCGGATACCAGTTCATTTTCAGGGAAGAAGCTGAGCCTTTTGAATGTGTCACGACCCATTGCCAATATCGCAAGAGTAGTCAGCTGTGTCTACTTACTTTGGATTTTATAAGCTCCGCCCAAGCTAATTTGCAGGTGGCTTCCTCTTAACCAGGGACCCTACACCCGTAAAGGCCCCCACGGGTCCAAGCTTACTAAGCCTTCTTGAAGCCTTTATTGGGGCAAAATAAGGTCAAACAAGGCCTTGCCGGTCGGGGAATGGCCTTTGGGGACAGGGGGTTGTAGGGTAGCTGCTGCAAAGCAAACGCAGGATCCCGTGATCCATTTGAAGAGGATCCCTCGGCCATGATCCAAATTCCGACAGTGTGGGCAATGGTAATTATTCCCTGACAAGGAATCTCCTGGTTGTCAAAGTTTGATGGTCATTCCTATTGAGCAAACTGAAAAGGGTTGAGCATGGCTTCGTTTACCTGCATCAAGATCAGGGCCTTTTGACCCCATCGCCTTTCTGGTTGAAAAGGGAACCCCCTAAAGTGGCGAAGACCCCTTTTGGGGGTCCCTGTGTTTTCAACCCACACCGTCAAGACTTTGAATTTCGTTTTAGATTGCAGTGGCTCGCCTTTGGCTCTGAATCAATGGGAAGGTTGAGGGGGTGTCCCACTGTCAAGATCCTTCACTCTTGTGGGGGACACCCCCATCAATAGGACAAAACTGATCAATTGGAAGGCCCCTAAAGGGGCAAGCACGGAATCAAGTTGGTTGAAAACCAACGGCTCTGAGCCTCCGGCCCACCAGCATCCGTTGATCCGAGATGGTCACGCGGACTCGGTAGTCTATCCATTGGGCCATGCGCGTATTTCCTCGGCTACGGGCACGTTCCCAGCACGGCCGCCCAAGTTGCATTCCATGGTTTAGATGTCGGCCTCGTCCGCAAAGGGAACCTCTCCAAAAAGTGGCGACGCCCCATGTGCGGCTGGAAACAAAGGGCCGGGTGTAGAAAGCCCGTAAGGGCGTCCCTTGGTTTCAAGCCACTCCGAAAACAACGCCAAGTTGTGTCACGGGCCTGCTCAGTTATTTTGAAGGCATGGAGAGGATCTAGCCCCTGCATCAACACATGGAGACCATCATTGGTATATAAACTCCATACCCTCCGAAATCCATCCGCGTTCAGGAATTTTGCCAAAACCAGACTGAGAATCTGCACATGCTGCGTGAGTGTCACGCAGCGATCGAGGGATTCAAGTAACATCCAAAAAATAAATAAAACTGGTCGATCTTTTCTTGTGCCCAGCAAAAGGCAACAAAGGGGGTGCTTTACTCCGGACTCCGGTAATGTTTTCCTCAAGGTTCCACCCCCAATGGAATAATGGTTAGCCAAATTTAGTTTGTGAAGCTCCTTAGGAAAAAAAGGTTTAATCAAATATGAGCCCCCATTGCTCTGGTGGCCCAAAGTTTTAGGGCAACTCAAACCTGAAACGATCCGAGGTTAAGGGCCCTCTCTCTCGACGCTCGCTTGCAATGCCGGGGCGCGGCCCGACATGGCTCGCACCCTTCGGCAAACTTGCCGCACGGGGGGGAACTGGAGCCACGACTGCGTGTAGATGGTCAGCTTCCAAGCTTCAAGTCCCATCCAAACCAGAACCCTCCAAAATCGGCTGTTAGCTTTTGGGGCAAGATTAAGAGCTATTCAGCCCAAACCGTTCGGGCAGGTATCAAGCAAAAGTGACGGCGAAACCTGCAGCGCCCGTTTCCAAGGACATCTCTCAGGCGGTGCTGAAGCATCTTAATAGGGAAATGACCTACCCACTTGAGAGGTGAATCCAAATTAGGCGCCTTGTGCACCTACCAAGGAGGCAGTCTCATGTCCTGAGTCGATTAGTCAACACGAGAAGCCTGTTGCTGCCCAAAATGATGTTGCCACAGATCACATCTTCATGTCAGCCCTTTCGAGCATGACTCGAACTGCTATAAAAGACCTATTATAAGACCTGGTCCGATCGAAATCTGAAGGAACAGGTGGTCGCTACACTTTTGTTTTTGCTCTTTTTTGCTAGGATTGGCTTTTTGTTAGGAGTGGCTCGCTACAAGAAGTGGCTGGATGCTGTGACTGTGACCAAGAGAGGAGGGCAAGTGGAGGGCAACATCCCTAACATCACCGGGCTCAGTCTCCCCCTGATCTCTTGCCACCGCAAGACAGGCGTGAGCCCCATGCTGCGTTGCAGGGCTGGTTTCAAGCCGCTTAAGTTCTTGCGGCAGGAATAGGGTGGGCTTTAGACGGCTAAATCTTTGTTTCAGCTGTGCTTACTGTTGATGGAGGGGTGTTATTTGTATTTTTGCTGGTTTGTGGTTTGGGGCAACGCGCCAAAACCAGGCGCAAACCAGCAAAAATACGAATAACACCGCCCCTTCAGCAAAATGAAACAAGCCCCAAAGCCTGACACAAGCCAGCCCGAAGCCACCCCCAAGTTTACCCAAGTTCAACCATAAGCAGCTAAGCTCAAAAAACAACTAATGCCAAGCGGTGGTCACATGTGGTCCCTCCCCAGCTAGCCCCAAACGAACCAAAACCAACCCTGACAAAGATTTAACCGTCTAAAGCCTACCCTATTCCTGCCGCAAGAACTTAAGCGGCTTGAAACCAGCCCTGCAACGCAGCATGGGGCTCACGCCTGTCTTGCGGTGGCAACAGATCAGGGGGAGACTGAGCCCGGTGATGCTAGGGATGTTGACCCACCCCCTGTCACGCCACTCTGCCAACCAACCCAACCCACCCAACCCACCCAACCCACCCAACCCACCCAACCCACCCAACCCACCCAACCCACCCAACCCACCCAACCCACCAACCAACCAACCAACCAACCAACCAACCAACCAGCCTTGGAGCCCTTGCTAAGCTGCGAGCCACTCCTAGCAAAACAAAAAACAAAAAACGTCGCCTCCGGAAAAGGTCGGCTTTCAACAAAAACATGCGGTCAAAATTGAGGACCTCTGGTTGCTTGCCCCCCAAAAGCGGAACTACTATGTCACCATGGTGGCCAAAATGGTCGCTACTATTGGCAACGCCACATGTGGGCCCAACACTTGCCCCCGATGGGTAACCTCAATGTAGTTTGCGCAGTGCAACTTTCCTCCGTCGCACCTTAGCCGTATATATCTTCTGAATGGGGGAAGTCAGAAATGGTTGGGTTTCCTTTTGCTTTCCGTGCTTGACAACCGCACCAGGGAGCTTCCCCTGAAAGCAGACCCACTTACTTGTCAAGAGTTGATGTGATTTACTTAGACCAAGTTGTTGTAGCAAGAAAGGCTGAGCTGCAAAACACAAACAGACTTGTCCTCACGAACACAAACACAAAGCACACAAATTCAAAACCAGAACCACCCAAACACGTTGCTTTTCTTTTTTCTATTTTTGGGAACCGACATGGAACCACTAAGCGGTTCCATGTCCACACTCCTTGGTTCCGGACCGAGCTCCGCAGCCGGCCCCGCAGGCGCCAGCTTGGAGGCTGCTCCTGGACCTTGAATATGGCAAAGGGAGCCAATTTTGGAGGTAAAGGGAGACCCCTACAAAAATGGCCTAGGGCAGGGGCCACTGGTTTCCCCTTCCAAAAGTTGCAATTTACTGGTTGCTTCCCTTGGTTTGTCTGTGTGTAGCCAGGTTCTGCTTTTTACCTCCCGGCCTGGCGGGTTGGATTGGTGGTCTATCTTTTGACTGGTGATTTGGCGACGTGGGACCTCCTCCTTGCCGAGCAACACACGTTTCAGCATGCTGCTCACGGTCCGTAGGCAGTGCGGAGGTTGCGCGAGCGCTCAGCACCATGTGCTTCGTGCATGAAATCGAGGGCTTCACATCCCACAGATGCACGCTGTCTGAGCTCGGTTCGCATTCAGGATGATGCGCAAAGGAGGCGCTTCCAAATCGCCAACCCAAATGGAGTCATGTACCGCCAGTGGTTGATGTTGCCCAAAAGGGTACCAGCTTGGAAAGACTCGTACACACATAATGAAAAACCCAGCTACACAACAATAAAGACCAACTACACAACAATAAAGAGGAGGGAGGACAAGACACCCTCTTTGAGGGATCATGCTTCCAGCAGGATGGGGAACGACATTCTGGCACGGGTGATGCTGATGCCACGAGTTCTGCAAGTAAACCAACCAGCAAGCCAAACACATGAGGAGGAAATCATACGTCGTTTCAAAGCTAAGCCAAAGGAAAGCGTTTGAAACGGGGGCGGCTCACTATGCTTTGATCTCGTGGGAACCACGATACGGCACTTCCGGCAGGTGGTTCGACATGGTGCGGTGGATTTCCTGACTGCCATCGAACCCATCCAACCACGCTTCCCCTTAGTCATTTGCGGTAAACTACTGGGTTTGCCTTGTATAGTTGCTTCCTTTCAGCTTGGTTGAAACCTCGGCCACATATCAGCCCTGCTGCACAGGTAAAAGGATAACATAGTTTATTGGTAATGGGAAATTATATAAGCGAGAGTCCCAACGTCCCTCCCGACATCACCATAGACTTGAGGAAGTGCTGAATTGTACTTGAAGACTTGCCGAAACGACCTGGTGATGCAAGGTCATCTGATATGTCGTTGACATGGACAAACTATAAATCAGAAAATGTTGTGGGGGCAAGTTCCTATAGGCTGCTCGGTCAACACCGGTGTTTGCCATGGAATAGGATGGGGTTCCCAATCGGTGCCAAGGAATGCCACCAACGGGGGACGCGGGGAGGCCACCTGTAACTCGCAAAAGGCACGCGCAAGCCAAGTCACATTGGCCATTGGTGCGATTTACTGCGAGGCGTCCCTCTGATTGCCATCACTTCTAATGATTCTAATGGCTTGCGAACTGGTTCCGCCAGTTTAAATCAACCCCGGAGCAGCAGCAAGTATGGGCTCACTAGTTCTCAGAGTAGGTCTCCCGCCACGGCCAAAGTATGCCTTTGGTTCCCACTGTAAAAATTATATACGAGTTCCATGCCCCAAACCTCAAGCTCGAATTGCACAATGGCAAACTGGCGCACCCCTCAAAAGGCGCCAGTCCGATGCCCAGCAAATTGACCGTCAACTCCAATTGACCATTCCAATAAACTGGGTTAGTTTTCTCCCCAGGTCTGGCCATTTGGGTTGAATGAAGCAGCTTGCTTCCAAGAAAGCCGCGATCCCGTCACAACCCAGCCATGCGATCCTTGCCTCGAAGCGCAGCGGGGATGTGAAGGGCGACACCAGCGCCTGCGCGTTTTCTGGTCGGTGCGCGGTCGTTTTGTTGGGAGAATCATGGATTTGCTGTCTAGAATGAAGATAGGTCTTAAACATCGTTTAGATAATAAACCAGCTCATAAAATTAAAGAGTTACTTGACGTAACTAACGAGTAGAACTAAGAAAGACGACGACTGTTGCCGGAAAGTGTGTCCACCCTAAGAGGATCCTAACATAGTGCGACGGCGAGATGACAAAACCGCTAGCCAGATGGCAGCGAACCACAACGGCAATTTCTGTGTGGGAGGTTTTGAACATCCTGCTGACTTGTCCAGGTGACAAGGCTGCTGCCAGCTCTTCTAGCTGCTGTCCCAAGATGTTGGAGCCCTCTAAAGCCAAGAACCACACAGGCTTTGCCCTTAATGATTGTCAAAGAAGATCACGGACATCATTGGCACTTGAAGCCGGTTCAAAACGAACCCCCCGGAAGATACCCCACTTACAGGAAACACCTCAGCCGCTCATTCGCTCACATGTCAGGGATGCCCTTCGACGCCCCCAAACATGGAGCCACGGCCTTGTTACGCAAACGCCTTTTGACACCAAGGGCCCCTTCACCCCCCGCCCCCGCCCCCCCCCCCCCCCCCACGCGGTTGTTTGGACACTTCTTAGAAGTTCTTCGAAGGGCGGAGCATTGGGGATAAGGCCTCCGCTTCTCTCCTGAAAGCTGGTGCCACAAAAGGAACAAACCCGTTTCCCGCCATTGCCAGGGTTCGTGCTGGTGGCTCAGGCTTGGATTTGCCTTTCGGCCTCTGTATGAATGGAAGGCCCAACCGACGAATTTGACCAAGGCTGCCATAGGATCATTCCCACAACCCTGGTCACGCTACTCCCACAACCTTTCCAACAAGGGAACAAGGATCACAAGGGAACTCGGACATACTGTATCATCCCCAGAACTCAGCTGCTGCTCTTCTGGCCTCTTTGAAGCTCATCTCGAACCTAACACGGGTCAGCTCGGCAGGGACCCCAAACTGGAAGTATTCCTCTAGTTTCCATTTTGTTTAATTTCAAACTTGGTGTTACCCTTGCGCGCGCACACAATCACACAAACATTCACTCACTCACTCACCCACCCACCCACCCACCCACCCAGCCAGCCAGCCAGCCAGCCACCCACCCACCCACGCACCCATGCACCCATGCACCCATGCACCCATGCACCCATGCACCCATGCACCCACCCACCCACCCACCCACCCACCCACCCACCCACCCACCCACCCACGCACGCACGCACGCACGCACGCACGCACGCACTCACTC